CGTAAGGTTGAAATTATGTACCTTAAAAAAGTGTCTTCAAGTTTACTACCATTCATAATACGACAAACTGATCTTCAGTGCATGTATGAAAATAATTAATTAATAATTATATTTCATTTAAAAATTATATCTRTTTCAAATTACATTGATGTCTCCATAATTTACTTACTATATTTACTTTACAGGATATTTTATACTTTTCTACGAGAACTTTTTTCACTTTGGATATTATTACCAATATCTGATGTAATATGTAACCCAACCAACATTGCTATTGCTTGGTCAAAATTATCAAGATCATCAATTATTTCAACAACTAAAACATGTAAAGATGAACTAGTTGAATTTTTATCAAAATTTATTGCTGAAACTCAAAATGATACTGTGCAACTTGAAATGCGTAGTATATTTAAAGATTCTACTATTTTATCTGCATTTACAGCTTTTTTGAAAAGAAAAGATGCTGTACATTTGTTACAGTTCTGTCTAGATGTAGACCAGTTTAATAAGCGCATGTTAARACCGGAAATATCATCTCAAGAAATTGACATGCTCTATCGAGATGCTTGGGATATATTTTCTGTATATTTTAGTTCCCATTCTCCAGATTGCATAAGTTTTGATCCTGAGTTAGTGAGTCAACTGAGAAAAGTTTTATCCAAGGATGTTATAAAACTTCAAAATTCAAAACCACTATATCAAGCTTACGAACAAACATATTCTTTATTACAAAATAGTTATTGGATAGAATTTCATAATTCTGATGAATATTTTTCTTGGATATGTGGACCACGTAATATYCCAGAGACTAGTTCATCTCAAGAATCATTGTCAAATAGYGAAAAAAAAAATCATGCTTCTAAGCTTAGTCGCAAACTAAATAGGATAAAAGGAGCTATGAAGTCAAGTACTATATATGATGGTCAATTTGATTCTTTATCTTCTGAATGTGATCCTGAGTATGGAGAAGATCTATCTATTGATAGTGAAATCATTAATAGTGAAAGAGATTTAAGCACTTGGAAGGTAACTGATGTAACATCAGCTATGAAATTAGAATCTGGATCCAATGGTGGTCAATCATTAGTATTTTTTATTACTGTAGAAACAGTTAAAAATGATTCAATCAAACAATGGTGTGTAGAAAGAAGACTTGCTGACTTTTACACCTTAAAATCAAAACTTACTGAATTTCACGGAGTTTTTGTGGATGCTCGATTACCTTCAAGAAGAATTTTATTACAAAAAACAGAAAATAATGACATATATATGCAGTTTCTTAATCAACTATTACAAAAACCTGAACTTAAGGGATCCGATTTATTGCATATGTTTTTAACGTCCATGGACAATTTTGAAGATTCTGAATCAGCTATTGGAAGATTATTAAGGAAATCTATGCCGATGAATTTGAGAAAAGAACGTGGACAAAATTTAGAATCTTTCATTTCTGTTTTTATGGCTTCAGTCGAAACCAAACTAAAACAAAGGTGTAAACAAATTATAATTTTGTTATTATGTAGTATATTACTATATTATAGTATTAGTAATTAAATACTAATGATTAAATATCTCATTAATTTATATTTTAAATTACAGACATGAGTGGAAAGATTTAAGTGAACATCCTCCAGAAAAGAAATTTAAAATTGCCGAAAATTCGATTTTTGGTAATAACTTAAATATAATTAAAGATGAAACCCAAACAACATTAGAAGAAATATCAGATCAAATAAAATTT